TTTTTTTTTTTTTTTTTGCAAGAAAGAACTGGTAGGGAAAGGTTATGACAACTTGCTTGAAATCTTAGTGTGGATTGCTTGTGATATTTAATTTTCCAAAAAGTCAGCAAAGAAAAAAAAGCAATTTGTACAATTGGTTGTTTGTTTCTTTAACAGCAAGTGATGTGCAATCGTGATTGCCAGGGTATCCATTAAGTGTCCAGTTACTGGTCACTTGTGTCCCGTACCTGACTGTGATTAGCACCCTTAGGCATGCCTCCCCCTTTTTCTCTTTCTATTTCTGATATTCTAAGTATAGAACTGTTACATCTCTTCCCAAATTACTTGGGGGCATTTTGCTATTGTGATACAGGCTGGTGTTTTGGGGTTCTCAAATTAAAGCATTGTATACCAACTGACTGTTTAAATGTTATGTGACTCTCTGTGCTACTTTGGTTGTCCAGACTATTGTCCTGTGCCCAGGGTGTTGATGCTGGCAGAGTTCACTGGCCACGTTTTACAAAGATTGTGGAAAATACCCTGTGGCTACGGCAGGCTTGACTCCTGCAGCCATTAACTAATGCCCAAAGGCACAGCAGTGGTTGCTTTCATTGTGACTTGCGACAAAGGGGACCTATGATTCAGGCAGTTTTTATTCGTTTTTTACATTTATGAAATTTGACTTCTGATCCTTGAAGGTGACAAGTGGGCCTTGACTCCAGTTGTAGACCAAAGTGGGCCTCACATAATGTAATTGATATCTTAAAAAGAGTAAAAGTTGAAAAATATTAAAAGCACATCTAGAAATCCTGGCTTGAAATTGAGGGATTGCAAAGATAATTGAACATGATATCCACACGTTTTACTCTGAAAATAATATTGCTTTATTACCCCCTAGATGAATGCAAAGGTTAGCTGTAATTATTGGCTGATTGAACTTTGCTGCTGAGAAGATATATGTCAGAAACTGTCACAGGACAGTTAATTTTAGTATACGTGTCACATGACTTGTGTCACATGACTTAGAGTTGTCAGTTTCTGTAGAAATACTGAAGGCATTCTTTCTTTTGCTCTTTGTCTTCTGCTTTACTTGAGTTTGAGTGCAGAGATAGATTTTTGAGAGAAAATTAAATACATTTACTTCAACGGAATGGCTGATTATCTTCATAGATTTCAAAGTAAAACTTTCAAGAATATGTAATCTGCATAACAGCTTAAATTGTTTCAAGTAGAGAAATCCTGTCCACTCTTGTCAATTAAGTCCATTGATCACACTGACCCAAAAACACGGAGAGTGAATTTAGAATAACTTAAGCCATAGTGTGAATTACTGATTTTAGAATGTCAATATTGTCTCTTTGCTAAGTGAATTTCCTGGATTTTGTTTCCCAATTCCTGCAGTTGTTTCCTGCAAAGTGCAGATGAAAGAATTGTGGTGGTATGGATTAAGAGGCATGGAGTCGATAACTGTGATGCTTTATCATATCAGGAAATTCAGCGAGGTGTGCTTTTAGAAAGCTGTCCATTATCGTGAACACACGTACATGCTGCAGGAAATTCAGCAGAAAAGATTCCATGTTCGTTGCACTCATTTTCACTTGTCTGGGGTGGGTTTTAGTGTTTGTGTATATTTGATTTTAGTATTTCTCAGTGCTTTGGCAGTGTGTCTTCTCTAGTTATATTTAGTTTTCTATGTAGAGGACAGGATGTTTAAATCAGAAGGCACATATTTTTCACTTCTCATCTTTCCTTCCCAGTTTTAAGTTGTTTGTTTTCCAAGATGTAATTCTGAACCACAAAAGAGCTTTAGCCTTAAATCTGGTTTCAAAGTTTTAAACCAAACTGCTAGTCCACTTTGACTCTTGTTGTATGTGCTTTATAACAAGAAAGAAAGGGCTAATGTCTTAGACCTATACTTTGTTATGTGAACCAATATGTTTTTTTTATCTCTGAAATAAAGTTCAGACAAGTCTACAAGTTATAACTCCTTTGTAAAGCTGGTCCCCTCTAGCAAAAAGGAGAGAGTTGTGGCTAGAATAGAAGAATTATGAAAGATGTCATCATCTCACAAAGATGGTGGTTTGTCAAATATATTTATGATATTTACTAGCCGACTTACGTTTGTCTGTTGAAAAAAATGTACATGCAAAATTCAACATTTTTAGCTGAATTATCATCAGGTGTAACCACCAGCTGTAATTGTTTTGTGATTGCAATCAAGTGAATGAGCCCAACTGGTATTTTATTAATAATAGCAAATTGATATAAATATTGACATACTTTTGTAACAAGTACATTTCTTAACAAGATTAATTTTGATTTTCTCCATGATATTTGCACCATGGGGTAGTGTTGAGACCAAAGCATTTGTTTGCAGTTTAAAAGCGGGGTCTGACTGTGTAAATTTAACACTTTTTCAGAAGTGTTTCTGTTATTGATATTACTCGTATTACACATTGTCTCACTGCAAGGAGCCCCAAAATTTGTTTCTGTGTGGTAAAACAAAAGCGGAACAAAACTCCCCTGCAGATATATACAAACAGGATAGGGTTACCAAGTCTGTATGGTGCGGTTAACGGCACTGACTTGTTACAACCTGGCGTTAGCCCCAGACGGCTGCCATTGAAAACAACCCAGCTTTGTAAATTGTAGCAAAAACATATCAATATCGGGTCAAACAATTTTAATGACTGTTTTTAATGTGGTAGCTGAGGTGAAAGGCAGGGAGTAAGATACAATGGTTTTTCTGACCCCCGCATCTATTTGACTTTCCGGCTGAAAAGTTGATGATTTAAAGGAGACGTGATACGCACAGGCAGCATAAATAGTATTTACTCTTGCTGGACAATCAACATTTTTATGCCCTTTTATTTCTCTTTCATACTTCTGGTTCATTGGCCATTCAGACATATTTCTTAAATCATGCTACACAATAAAACGTGACGTTGGTAAACTTTAATGTTTTCACTTTTACCAGTGGTATTTTGTCTCAAGGTGATTTTAATTTTCGTTAATTCATAACAAGGTGAAGATCGTATGACTTTACCTTGGTTGGCAGCCAATCTGGTTTTAAATTAATGGTGGTTAATCGGTTTGTTTTCATATTTTGTTATCATTTTATCTGAGAAATGCTCAACTTTAAACTGATATGACTTTGCCTTGGGCTGTACAGCTGTTATTGCCACCACTGATGTGAGATAATATCTAGACTTAACAGATGATTAACACCATATTATTTTGGAAATTTTATACAATATCTCTTGGCGATCCTTAAACCCTCTTTACTTAACATTTGAATATTACAAAAAGAAAAGTTGGATGAATAAAGCTGCTAAGATGTATGTAACTTTAAGACTCTAAAGCAGATCTTGATTTCTGTTGTAATGCTTAAAGCTTTAGCATGTGGCACCTGTTTTAACCAAAAATTTTCCCCCCAAAGTGGTCTCAGACTTTTGATTAAAATTTTAGCCTGCTTTGACTCAAGTTAAATAGTCTTTTTTAGTGAAATACAGTGCCTGTTTTAGACCATTAAATAGTACTATGTTCAAGTTGACTGCTACGGATCCCAAATTGAAATATTATAATTTTTGGGGTCTATAACTTTAGACTTATTTTCAATTTTAAGTTCTGTATGAAACTTATGAAACTGGACACTGTTTTAAATTAGTAGAATCCTGATATTACATTTACTTTTCAACTCATTTTATATCTTTTTATAATGTCAGCCTCAGTCTGTCAAATACATCAACTGTTATGTGTCACTGAACTAGAATGCAATCAGCTGTTTGACTGAATATGTTTTCTACCTTATATTCCATTATAGTCACAGTTACATTACAGCAACAATTACGCTAAAATCACAATTGACCATTTCAGCAGCAGCACTTGTATGCCAAGATCTACGACAGAGGAGAGCACGAATGGTACGTCATCGTCACAGTGGGCCATACGACTGATTGAGGCTCTTCACAACACAGACCCTGTAACCAGACAGTGCTTAGTTTTGAAGGTATGGAACAAGTCGTGGATATTTAGATATTATCACAGATAAAATATCAAATAAAAATTCCGCCACAATATTTGTCTGTATTTGTCAGGGTAATAATAAATTCATATACAAACAAATACAGTTACTATTTTTTCCAAGATAATTTATTTCAAACATTTTGCAAAAATTAACACGCAAGCATAAACTTAGAATACCATAAAAGCAGTATTCTTTGATTAGAACTCTGACCTTTTCCCCCACCTAATATTAGAAATAACACCAAATTGATTTATGAATTTCAAAAAAGTTCAGGAAAGTTCATAGCCTTAGTTATATGGAAAATTAAATCTTTCAGGCAATCGCTTGCTATTGATAGAATTTTGATTAATATGTCCAAAACTGTGCCAGTCTTTTTAGTATGTTCCCCCCAGTTTATCAAACCCGCATTGAATGCCGGATATAATATTAATCATATACACACACAAGATTAGTATTTATACAAAACTGTAAGGCAATTTATAGCTCTCTAGATTTTAAAATAAAACTTTCATTACAAGCACCCTGTTGAAATTATTTGTTGTTATTGAAATTTTCATGTGAAACACTGTTATGAAACATTGCGTATTTGATGAATGGTGGACCAGTATAGACTGTACTAACACTAAGCCGCTATTGTTGTTATTCATATATGTGATCAAGCAGCGATGATTGTTTACTATTGGAAATTAGGCTGCTCTGTAAATATTTCCTTTATCGTAGCTGTACCTGGTTATTCTCCAGGCAGGTGTGAGCTGAAAGGTGTTAATTAATCTTAGAACTGTTTAATTTGATAGGTTAATACACCTTGTGTGAATTGAATGAGTGAATTGAATTTGTCAGGAAATAATTCAGAATTGGAAGGAAATTTGCTGTTACATTCACAATGAATTAATGCCATATTTGTTTTATGTGTAAATGGTTCACTTAATCTAAAAGCAAACTACTAAGTAATGAACTTGATACAAAATGTCTCAACATCATATCCAAGATAAATGTGCTAAGAAGAGAAGAGAGAAAATGAAAGACTGGAGTTTTTGGTTTGAAACAAGCTTGAAATTTACATGAAAATTTTAATCCACCTGCATGAAATTAACAAGCATGAAATGAACTTAAGTGAAATCAACAAGTGTGAAATTTACAACCGTGAAATTTACCTGCAGGAAACAAACAACCATGAAATAGCGACGTAACTTGTTGGCCGTTATAATGTTTTCTTTTCTTCTGGTTATTGATAAGAAAAATAGCACGAGGAGTGTGATTGAAAATGCCGGCTTCTACTTAAATAATCCCACCCAACCGAGACCGCGTAATCAAAACAAAATTTACCATTCATCTACTTTTCAAATGTGTTTATACAATCTTTATATTGGCGAGCTTCAAGTAGTTGACACAATTGCCATGTGATTCTCATGTAATTTAATGGCATTGTGAATTGGTTTGTAGAGTCAGTAGATTGCTGCCTTCTACCATGGAAACATTATTTCTGTGATCATGATAGTGCAGAGGTGATTTGTTTCAGGCACAAAAACATGTTTACTGTTTATGAAAATTATTACTACTTTTTACAACTTCTCCTAGCTACTTTTGGGCTGGGAATTGGATTTTGTTTTCTGAATTGTGAGTAAGATTTGATACAAACTTCATGAATTCAATTTACAGGTCTTGCAGTTAAGTTGAACCAGTATCTATTATTTACTTTAAATTAGTTGTAATAATTAATGTGTATTTGTAGGCACGGTGCTTTAGAAGATGGCAGAGCTTGGTCAGAGAAACAAGACGACAGAAAACTGATGACAACCAGTAAGTTTTTTTAGGAAAAGAATGTTTCCTCTCACAATGTTATTCCTCAACATAATGGGAAATATCCATAACAACTTGTTAACTTCAGATTATATGTTATTATATGTTATTATTACATAATATGTATTTTATATGTTATTTTTGTATAAACATTTAACAAAACTTCCTTGATTATGAAAGTATAGCAAACGGACGACTTAAAAAACACTTAAAAAGTGTTAGAAGTGAGTAACTGTAATTTATCTGTTGATTAAAATGCTGTTGGAATTCTTTACTACACAAGTCTTTCTTCTCTCTCTAGTGCTATATGTTATTATCATCGAAAACTGCTCGCAAGGTGCTTCAAACATTGGCGAGAGGAGGTAGAAAATGGACGACAGTTGCATGCCGCCATTGCCCTCTACAGGAAACATGCTCTGCGCAAAGGAATTCAGGGACTAAGGTTTGCTGTGCAACAATCCCGCCACCTGGAGGATGTTTTAGAGACTAAAATGAAGCAGCACTTACTGTCCAAGTATTTCCATGAGGTAAGGCCCAAGTTAACTCAATAGGTTTAACATAACCATTTGGTTTATGGAAGACCACGTGGATTTATTTCCATATTTTTTCACAGTAACATCATGTCTGTTGGGTCGACATCCACAACTGGTCTTGTTATGTCTATTAAACATGTATCAGTAAATGTTTCAGATAATTTTTATTCCCAAACAATTGTTATTTAAATATATATTGATAACTCTTTTCATTTTTGCAAAAAATAAATAAATAAATAAATAAGGGCAGAGGCTGTGGAAGATAAATTACAATATTAAATCATCATCATTATTTTCGTAATTAATTAAAAATAAAACTATTTGCTTATATGATATGAAAAGAACAGCTGTTACATTTATTTAGTTTAGGCTCATTGACACAGGTAATACAAGAATTACAAGTTTCTAAACTTCATCCATTTCACTTCAGTGGCAGGAGAGAGCCAGTGACAGCAGGGAAAATACTATCCGCGATGCCTTCAATCGCTGGCGGCAGTTTAAGCTGCAGTCAGAGCGTATGAAGCTACTGGAGAACATGGCGGAAAGGCGTCTCCTGTCCAAGGCGTACAGCGTGTGGAAGGGTCACTTCAAGGATCAGCAACAGGAGGGCGTGGCTGCTCTGCACTACAAGTCAGTTTTGAATTTTATATAGTTTTGAACATTTAAGGAATAGATAATTAAATCACGTAATGGACACAGCATGTGATTTATATGTCCATTCTATAATGTTGTTTAAAACTAAATTGGCTTAAATCCAAATATTCCCATTGATATTGAAAGAGTTTTATTATCCATTGATAGTAGAAGGATAATGCATCTAGAAATTTTCTCAAACCTGTGTATCTGTTACATACTGATACTTGCCATCATACACAGTAAAAGTGACAAACTTCTTTGATGATAATATGAATAAAGATTTGTAGTAGAATTGTAACAAACTGCTTGCAAGGTAATTTTGATTACGATATCAAGTTGTTCATATATTTGTTGAAGTTATTAATTATCTCTTTTCCATCCCCCAGGGTCACAGTGCTGGGGAAGGGCTGGAAGGCCTGGAAACAGTTCACCACCATCAGTCTAGTCAGGAGTAGGAGGAAAGAAGTCGCCAAGTGAGTTATTTAGGATTTTTACCTTGATTGTAATCTGACTTATCCTTATCACAGATATGGTTTAGAGGTTGAATAACCAATGATAAAATAACTTTGAAGTGACATCCACTTATCAGTAGTTAATTTCTGATCATTCCTGAACAGAGGATGTTTCCCGAGGAAATGAAAATACAGTGAAGAATTTGACAAATAAAGTCTTGCTTTGAAAGAATGATGTAAAACATTCTCTTTATGTAGGATCCATTATGAGGAGCGCCTCCTTCACAGGACGTTCCACCACATGAAAGAGACAGCACAGAAATCTCAGATGGCAGAAATCTTCTACCGTCGTCGCCTTCTGGCCAGGATGTTCCGACAGTTCCATGAGGCATCCCAGCTCAGCAAGGCTCATCGACTCAGAGTAATGGCGGAAACAAAGGAGTACAGACGCCTGGTGCTACTCAAGTCTTTCTTTGCTCGCTGGAGAGAAGAGCTGCGGGAACAGAGGGCAAATAATGTTGCCAGGAAGAGACTGGAGAGGTATGAAAGGGGAACTTATCTTGTGAATGAATTTATGGGTTTGAATATTCCTCTTCATGAAGGCTTTTCTCTTTATATGTTTGATATATAGTCGATAAAGTTGCTGGAATTTCTGTGCAGTGTTCAACAATAAGGAATTCTTTGAAAGTGGAGTTGTTGCTTCATTCTTTTTAGAGTTTGTTAATTATGAATTTCATCATAAACTCTTATACTCTTTCGGCTAATATTCTCTGGGACCATGTCATGTGGTATGAACAGATGTCATATTGTTCTTTTTCATAGCCGTGCCTTTGAAATCTGGAGACTCCGGTGGCGGCGCAACCTGCTCCATCGGCAAGTTAAAGAAACCAGAGCCAATGAGGAGCTAAAACACATGGTGCTACAAGGCTGGCTGGAGGCAGCACGGCAGCAGCGGCGGGACAGGGAGGCAGCAGTGGAACTGCTGGAGAAAGTTCTCTGTAGTCACTGGCTGAGAGAGTGGCATGACTACACGCAGAGAATGGTGGAAATGAGGTGGGTCTGAAGTCTACAGCAGACTTACTGATCTGCAGACCCATCATACCAGTATGGCTGGCCCATCATAAAAGGAATACATTCCCAGAGATTTAGATTGATCCAACTAGATCGACCTAACTCCCTGGGGGTTCACGCTAAATTGCTGTCAGCCAACCACGCACAGTAGTTAATTACCCCCTTACAGCTTTTAGTAGGCGGGACAGACATTTAAGCCGGCTAAGCTGACAGTAATCTAGAGAGACTCCCCACAGGGATAGATTGATCTAAAATCTGTGGGAATGGGCTCACTGCCTCCACACGCGCCATTAAATGGATTAAGTCTCAGCTCCAAGGTTAAATTGCTAGGTCCCTGCAGGGACAATTTGACAAACTTGGGTTGATAGAAATATTATATGCAAAAGAATAAAAAAAGAACAATTGTTCTAATGGTATGTGAGCCTAGTGGTGTTTCAGAATAATATTTTTAAAAATATTTCTCTCTCCTTTACAGAGCCAGTTATGCAGAATTTGTCCAAAAGAGGGCACTGCAGACAAAACGTCGCTACATGAAGACGTGGCAGGCCCAGCTCCACACTAAACTCACACAGCAGAAAGCTAAAGAGTTGTGGACGTTGAAATGTGTGCGACGCGCTGTGTACAAGTGGCACTCACTGGTATATAGGAGAAGACTGGAGATCATGTTACAGCAGTCCCAGCCACTTAGGGATAGGGCCTTGGTGAAGGGTAAGTGTGCCGAGAGAGAGAGGGGGGGGGGGAGAATTCATGGTTTTAAGGGGAGAGTTGAAACAGGAGTGAAATATGTGGATAACGTATGAATGTTTGTCATATTTGTAGAAATTTCTTGAAGTTTGGTTTTTTTTTTTTTTTAATAATATATATAATATATATAAAGGGTTTATTGTGTTCTTTGCAATATATAAGACATATATTGAATGTATATGTATAAAAGTATAAAGATGTAGTACTAAAATAGAGCTTTAAGATAAATTCTAAGTTATAAAACCAATAATGAGGTTAAAAATGGTGATTCGTTGTTATTTTCAAAAGCTAAAAGTTAATGGATAGACCTAGATCATTGACACGTATATAAACAGTATGGGATAAAAGTGTTTCTATATCTTTTTGTCCGACATTTTGGTAAAACATATCTATAAACATTCCTTAGGTCCTTTTCTATGACACGAGTGTTAGGTAAAAGATGGTTCAATCTATGTGTACACAGTTTTATCTCATTAAATAATTTTTTGCATAAGTCAGTACGCCGAGATTTCAAGGTAGGTAATTCAGTGATGTCCATTGCAGAATCACTGGTATGTTCCATTTGCTGCATTTTGAGATGGGGGTTAAAGTCCTTGGTATGTTCTGTCTTGGTCTTGACCATGCTGTAACACAGGAAATATCAGTCCACTCATGATCAGTTATTCTCACTGGTATATGTCTACGATGTCTTCTGCCAGCTCTATGTCCCCGTCTTGTAGACAGTCTTTGATAAATGTTGCACTCACGGAGAGAATGTTCAGTATTAGTGTTGATGGCAATGCCTTTCTACCACATATCTACCACAAAATAGCCTAGAGAAACAAGTCATGTTTAGATATGATGCAATATTTTTATCATCACACTGTCACTATTACAGCTTATCTGAAGAGGTGGATTCATGCCAAGCAGCAGCTAGACTGTGAGAAGGACCGTGCAGACATAGCATATAGCGCCATGCAGAAGAAGGGGCTGCAGCGGATGTTTGTCCGGTGGAGAATTCTTACGCAGCAGGAGCTGACCATAGCACCTCTCAAGTCTAAGAAGAGAAGGAAAGAGATAGCTAGGTAGGTATCCAGCTGTTGACTCTTACTGAACATTTCCGATGCCAGTAGAGTGAAGTTTGCTGTAACTTCAAAGTGACTGGAGACTGGTAAAATCTGTTTGAGATGAAACGTTAGTCTTCTGACACGTTTTGGATCTTAACCAGTCTTTGTATTAGAACACAACTTTGATATAAATATGGGTGTTTGTTTAAGATGGATATTTGTTGAGAACTTTTTAACCAACCACTGCTAAGTGCATTTCTGCTTTCTTGCCAAGTGTTAAGTGTTCTTTATTCTTAGCAAAAAATCCTTAATACCAAATTGCCCATTCTTAACATGACAAATGGCAATACACCTTCAGTTCTGCACCCTGAGATTGAGGTTGTTATCTGCTGTGATATCTAATGGTGTTTTGTTCTTATGCAGGGTATTTGACAGCTGGAGGGCCAGGGTGCTTACCAAGAGGAAAGGATTAGAACTGAAGGCCAGCTTCCACCATCTGCAAATGCAGAAGATCTTCACAAAGTGGAGGTAAGATCAGTATTTTCACAGGGGACAGTTTGATAATAACATTCTCGATAAGTGAGAATTGGAAGGAATGTTATTTTGTGTGAGTAAAAAATAAGGAGTTTGAGTTGTAGAAAATTTCATTTTATGTGAAACCTGAATAACAATCAGATAGGTCTTTATTCATGATTACTTTACTTTAAGTTTTCGAAAAAGATGAAAAATTCATAATGTCCATTTATTGTTTTGCTACTTCTGCTTTAGGTTAAAGACCCAAAGTATTGTTCTCCAACAAAAGGTGGCGCTATCGTCCCACCTCCATCTGCTCCGCCAGTGCTTCAGTGGCTGGTGTGAGTTGGTAGAGCGTAGGAAGAACTACGAGAATTTCACCAAGTGTTGCTCCCAGCAACATCTCAGACGGGCATTCCAGACGTGGAGGTGTAACTTAGGAGAGGTGCGAGCTGAACGAGAAGAAGAGGAAGCTGAGCAGGTAAGAAGGAAAAGATGGCGCTACTCAAGTCAAAAACATTTTGGCCTGCTAACACCATGGTTGAAGAATCTGCTGGCCCAAAACAAGTATACTGCCCTGTTACTGAATTTGCCACTGGTTTTTTGCATAAGACCTGTGTTAACATTGCAGACTGTTATGTCAGAATTAGAGCATTTTAGTATGGCATGGTAATTGAGATTTATGAGAATATGGGGGTTCATTTAATAACCTTTTATTGAAAATAGTTGGTAAAGATATTTCATATTCCTAACAAAGGGAAGGAAGCATTAAAGCAATGGAGATTTCAAAATTTATTCCACTATGAACAAAACACAATAACATTGTAAAATTTCAATAAAAGAACATTGACAACAAGTGTGACATATATACTAGTCTTGTATGTAATCACAAATATTTCTTCATGTCTCATATAATTTCCAGGCAAGAGTGAAGACCCTACTGGCTTCCTGTCTGCGTACATGGCGTGCTAAGCTATCCCAGCAGCGTTGGTTAGAGGACACGTTGCTGAAGAGAATGGCAGAGCAGCACTGCGCCAGACTGGTCCGCGGGTGCTTCATCCAGTGGAAATTGCAGTACCAGGGGGCCGCCAAAGCCAGGTAATGAGGTCATAAAATATACCATGACCCAGGCTAGTTTGAGGGGGGACTGTAAACACTCAGACTTCCCTAGGCTTTTTTTAAAGATAGTGCTGACGACAGGGAAATTGCCTGAAACCTATATCCTCCTCAGTATATTATGTCAATTTTCATTGTATAGTGTAGAATGGAAAAAATTGGGGATTCGATGCTTTATCATTGTTATTTCTATCAAATGTATTAAGTAAAGTGAAATGTGCCTGTTGTATTAGATATCTAAAGTACAGAAAAGTAGGTAGTAGGTAATATGAGAATGCATTGAGCTTTTTCTAGTGATTATCGTAACACCATTTGTCTTTGTAGGTACCTGGAGGAAGAATTAGGTCAGCGTCGCCTGCAGCGCATCTTCAAGGTATGGCAAGACCAGACCAGCCAGTCTTTCCACGACTCCATAGCGCAGTTCCATGCCAATATGGCAGCCATTACCCCGCGGGACAGTATGGAGAGGAACGATTCAGTCCTGTCTGGGTTGTCGCAGACATCATCTGTCAGCAGCAGTGGCTTCCAGAGCATTCCATGGCAGCAACACAGTGGCATGGGTGAGTATTTTAGATACAGAGAAAGAGGCTGTCTATCTAAAATATAGAGAAAGCGCATTTCTTTCTAAAATCTTAAGTGAGACATGGAATGTGGTATCTAGGATTTTAGTTGAATTGCATGCCACTGTCAAAATTACAATAACTTAAGATTTATTAATTCTCTTTTTAAGTTGTATATCCATAGTGCAATAAAAGAATCAATTTTCCCTGTTGCTCATGTGATTTCCACAACTATCAAAATATAATGTTTATTGTATGATACCTTCACTATTTTCTTATGTCTTATACATCCTTATTTTATGATAAATAATATCCTTATAAATTACATTATTGAATGTCCCTTTCAGCCTACCCCTTGAACGGTCAACTGGACAGTTCAATGTCCACCTCCCCAACTCTAGATGGCCAGCACTTTGGCCAGCTACTAATACAGGATCTTATCCACGTTGGTAAAGATGAGGAGAAAGATGATGTATTCTCGTACCATGAGGTCCTGAGCCAGTCAGATATAGGGTCAGCTGTTAGCACACCACGCTTTAAACTTCTGGACAGTCCTAGGAAAAGGTGATTATTGTCAGAAATAGTTTTGTTAGCACCAAAACCTTTATGGTATAGTATTGGTATTTAGACTTAAAACTGCCTTTCTTTGTCATATAATACTTTTTAAAAAACATTAAATGTGCAGTAGGTAAATACTAATGTCCGTAATTTAAATCACATTATGAAAACTTACTTTTTATTTAGGGAGTTGAGTGAGGAGAAGCAGAAGAGTTTGGATCGACGCATTAGCTATGAGAAAGCCTTGAACATTGAGAGAGCCAACTATGAACAAGAAAAGAGCAGTTTGCTGAGAGCAGGAAGTCTGTTGGAGCCTCTGAACATTGACATAGATTGGTCTGCTACATCTGATATACAGGTGGGTGACATAAGATATACATACAGCTCTAGAGCCTGTGTTAACGATAAAGGTTGGAGTTAATGGTGTGATGTTACCAGATTAAGTTCAACCAGTTTTACTGTTGTTGTCTAGTCTCTTGGATCTGTTCCTCCCTATATTATACTACAGGTCAAGCTGCTGCACATATAGTGTTTAGAATAATCATTTAACTGCAATTGTTACAATAAATTGTAATGACAAATTATTCACTGAAGTTCAACATAATTTTTTATCATTATTTGTTGTGACATTTGATCTATGCAGGTGTCTGATTAATCAAAAATATTCTGGATTGAAATGAAGATAAATGTTTTTGGAAATAATAAAAGAAAGTCATCTCTTATCAACAGGAACTTCTTGTGTGGGTGGTCAAAAGATGGCAGCACTGGCCAGTGAGTGCTGCATTTGAGCAGTGGAAGGAGTACGTGGCTCAGAGACGCGTCATCAAGTACCTCCAGACTGAGGCTAGCGCTAGGTGTGAGAACCTCAAGCTGCACTGGGCCTTTGACCAGTGGAAACATGGGGTCATTGCCATGGCAACAGCCCGGAAGTATCATGTGAGTTATGTTTCTATGTTGTGATGTCTTCTTAGAGCACAATGATGCTTATGGTGAAATGTCATTTTGATATATCCAAATAGAAATTTTTTTTTGAAAAGGAGGAAAAAGTTATAATATACCCGTTTTTACAATTATTTCCGAGGAATTATACTTAAGTCAACATTGCCAAAACCTTGATATAAACAGGATTTACTATATCTTAACTGATAAATTGTGTGTTCTTTAAATAAAAAATTGCAGATGGCTGAGTGCTTTATGATGTAAAAGTCTATTAGTAAGACTGCTTTAGACCAGAAATAAATTTTGTGTCATTGGACAACCATTTTATCATTAACCAGAGACTTCTCTATCTGAGGCATAACATCTTCCTTAATAGTCTGTCTGCACAGAGACACACCATTTTACCTCAAACAGTCAAATTCTTTGTTACTTTCACTTGGCATCTGATGGTGTGAGTTGGACAAATTTCCAATCCTTAATGGTCCCTGTCTAAACTGTCCTTAACCTATGATATGTCCTATATTTCTCAGGAGTCCTGTCTACTGAGAAGGTGTTTTACTGCCCTGAAAGAGTACACAGTGTCCAGGAAGATGAAGCAGGAACAGAAGAGACGAGCTGATGACTTCAGGGAGGCCATGTTGCTACAGAAAGTGCTGGAAACGTGGACTCAGAAGGTAAACTATGAAAGAAGGCTGTGGTTGTGAATCAAATAGTGTGCTTGTTTGCATGCATCTATTGTTATGCAGTCAATCTTCATCTGTGTTATTTAACTTATAGGAATAGAAAGAGTAGTCGATTATTATTATTATTATTATTATTATTATTATTATTATTATTATTATTATTATTATTATTATTATTATTATTAACAAACATGCAGAAATTATACAATGGGTATAAGACTCCTGTATGGGGAAAAATAATTTTTCTTGAAATTTCAACAGTATTTCCTTAGTCACAGATATTTACCCTAGACAAAATTATTGAGAAAAATGTTATCTATTTTTATTGAATCTCTCTCTCAGCATCAAGACAAACAGCAGTGTGAGGTGTCTCTGACAGCAGAAAGCCCGCGACTGAGTGGCCTTGGAAACTACGTGCAGCGTAAGATTCAAACAAAGAGTCTGCGTTACTGCATGCATGTGTGGGTGATGAGGTACACGCAGCTACAGGAAGTGAAGCGCTATCACAGCTGCTCCCTGGTGAAAAGGTAAGAGGAATGAGATAGGGTTTTGGGGAGGGGGGGGTGAGGGAGATATTGGCCTGGGAGGGGGAATGTTACACCTTCTGTAAGACTCCTGTGCATTAATTGAGGGAGAGAAGTTTAGAAACTTGTTGAATTTTCATAAGAAAGAATATTTTAAAATGGATAATTTTGAGGAATACGAGTGATTTTTTTTTTTTTTTTTTTTTTTTTTTTTTTTTTTTTTTTTTTGATGCTACCTGTTATAATGACAGTAATGATAATTACAAATAACAGAAGAAAAAGTTTAACTTAGTTACTTGGTTAATTGTATTCAGACATGGTTGATTTGTTAACCAGCTTGGGTCTAAAACATATCACAGGATGATGGAATAAAGCTAGACATTTGAAAGGCACAGGTACATATAGTCTGTGTAGTCCTGCCTGCAACTAGTATAATCCTGTTGGTTGCTTTACACTCAGGCAATTTCCAGTGTGTCTCAAACATTAAGATCATTGAATTATCTCTTCAGATGTTTCCGAGGCTGGCTCACTTGGACAAGAGAAAGATCAGACTTGAGAGCCAAGAGTGAAGAGTTCTGTCAAAAGAGACTGAAGAGGGCAGCACTGAGAGGTTGGCAGAGGCGATATCGCAACACGTACCTGGCAGAGCAGAGATATGTGCTGGTGTGGAAGGAGTTCCTGGCAGATATACTGGAAAGGTGGCACTTCTGGGCAGCAGGTGAGATGATACTTTACTTGTATAGTTTTAAGGTCTTGTACATAAAAATTATGTTTACTTACTGCCATGTTAGAAGGTGAAGTCAAAGAAGTTGCACTGCTACACGTGATTTCACATTTCCACAAATGGATGCACAGGTCAACATGCAATGAATACTCCAAGACCTTCTTTCCATAGATGTTTTATGCTTAACAGCAGCCTGTCTGATTCCTCAATAACTGACTTTTCTGTTTAATTAACTTTACCATGTGCACTGGTCTATCCTTGTTTTTACAGAGCGTCACTTGCAGTCAGCGGTTGGTGAACAACTGGAAGCCAGACTGAGGCTGCGCGCTGTGGCGAAGACTTTCAGGACCTGGAAGGCGGAGACTCACAAGTGCCAACAGATGCAGAAGATTTACCACGCTTCATTACTGTCGCGTAGTTTTCATGCATGGCAGAAGCTGGCGCAACGAAAGAAGGAGCTTGCTGAAAGGTTGTCTAACTTTGTTGTGAGGCAACAGGAAAACAAGGTAAAACTTACTAGAAATGTGAGAAAAGTAGAGTTTTAAATATGTTAACTTTTTAATTGAAACAATCATATTTATTAATTGTTATGAAAAAAGCTACGTTTATTTTTAAGAAAGCAGTGTTGTAAAATATAGTCATTAGAAATAGAAAATATACAATTAAGATATTTAGTATGCTTGAATTTTGATAATTGATCATGTACTTTGACATCATGTTCCAGCTAAGACGTGTATTCCTGGCCTGGAAGTCAGACTGGCTGCGTAGTAAGGCAGAAAGTGAGTTACACCAGCTCAGAGTTCATCACAATGTGGTCAAGATGGCCAAGAAGTGGAAGCAGAGGACACAGCAGTCTAGAGGGGAGAGACAGAGGAGAAAAGTTCTCCTGGCTATGGTATGTGGTTAAATTGATGAACTATGCTGTCCTGCTAATGTGTTGTTATTGATTCTATAAATATAAACATACATGATTAACAACAATTTGCTTGGTTTTGAACACTACAGTTTTGGCAACACATTACAAGAAGAGCAGCTTCATAAAACTAATTTGAACTGATATCCTGGTCCACAGTTGTAAATTGAACATTGCCAAAAAAAATCATTTACAGGTTGGATCATATAATTATTGATCAGACTGTCAGAAATTATATGTTGGTCCTAAAAGAATTTGATCAGTCACTGCATCATGTCTGTAAATCATCTTTTTACAAATACACAAACTCAAACATTTGTTTAGATTTAAATATCATATACACTGCCTTTCCATTTGATAACAATTGTAGACAACGTAGACAACAAAAATTTCTTTTATTGACATTTAATTTTGTTATATGTCCATAGATAGCACAATTTGTTACTATTTTGGCGAATTTCATGGATACTGTTGTTACTGTGACTTTCTTTGTTTCGTTCTTTGATTGTTTCATTGTCATGTGACTTGGTGCACTTACAAAAACACTTCATGTTTACATGTAAAATTCTGTTATTTTCCAGGCGTTCAAGTGTTGGAGGGGCCGGCTCCAGAACAAGCTGTCTCTTAAGGGCAAGGTGTACATCCTGGGCCGTCTTTGGCGCTGGAAAGCACAAAGGAACCTGACACAGGAAAATATGGCGTTGCAGCTGCAGGACAAGTTCCGTAGACGTCAGTTGAGCCGAGTGTTTACTCACTGGAAGGAGACATATTGGAAGCTGCACTGTGCTGAACAACACTATATAGACAGCTTGGTAGCAAGGTACTGGAATTATAAAGTTTATACTATTATTATTATATCACTGTAGCACTAATTTCTGTGGAATCTTCATTCTAAATTGCATACTATTGATGTTAAGTTGTTGAAAAATTTGTGCAGTTTAAAAAATGTTAATTGACCTTCTTTGTGTCACTATGTTTTACCTTAATTATAAAGTTATTATTATTATTATTATTTTAATGTTATTATTTATTGTTATTGCAGTGCTTTCCAAGGCTGGTTGGAGTTTACAGAAAAGAAGAAAGATCTTGCTTACAAACTTCAGCTGTACTTGGACAAGAGACACACAGACCAGGTGAGAAACTCTGCCCCCCCCCTCCTCCTCCTCCTCCTCCTCCTCTCTCTCTCTCGCTCTCTCTCTCTCTCTCTCTCTCTACAGATGAACAATCAAAATAACTGCTGTTGATATAAGGTTAACAATTACCAAAATATATCTAAAAAAATGAAACAAAAAATTTGTCCATTTTGGAGTGAGTTTTGCCAAATTCAGAGAATTATTATTTGTGCACACTAAAACTTCAATAGAAAAAGAGAATTGATGGCATATATGTTAGGGTATCATCTTCTCCAGTATGTTATTTATTGAAAGTTGTTTTCCCTTTCAGCTCATTGTTGCGATGAAGATCTGGAAGAAAGAATTCAAGGGCAGTGCCAGGCGTAAGAAACTACTGCAGCACCACCTGGAGGAGAGAAACCACAAACTTGTAAACAGGATGTTTGTCAAGTGGCATGACGAGACATTAAGACAGAGAGCTGAGAAACGTTACGAAGGTTCCGTTTTGCTGAGGATAGTAGTGTCGTGGCATAAGTGGGCACATGGTATGCAGGCTTAAATTATCATTGAAATGCATTAAATACCATTTAAGTCAATTCTGTTTATGTTCAGTGCAGTGATGAAATATGACTTGACTGTGCATAAATCTTAATTGTCCCAATAAAACATGTTATTTTATTGATGATAAATTTTGTTATTTATCAGAATATACTTGATGATAGTCACATCATATAAATAAAGTTACATTATTATTTCTTAAATGTCAAAAATGTATTTAAGTGAGTTTTTGAATAAAATGAGTCACTGTTAGACATGGTGTGATAATGATATATTTACCATTGCTGTGCAGATAAGAGAGCCAGAATGGCCAGATGTCAGGAGCTGCAGACAAGTTTTGCACGTAATAACCTCAGGTCAGCATTCCTTACTTGGCATCAGAACACCAGGGTGCAGCACCGTGCCGCGGCACACTACCAGCAGACGCTCACAGTCAGGTATGTGCTATTCTCTAAATATTTGGCGGCAGCATGGAAATTCTCAGGATGAAAACGGCAACAAAGGATGAAAACAGACATGGTTTATTTCTTTATAAGAGTAGATCAACACCTGTTAAGAACAATACTACAGTTAGTAATAAATGTATCTTTATCTTGGAAGTAATTACGAGACAATATTTATATTAAGTATTTTATGCCATATAGAGTAGATCAACACCTGTTAAAAACAATACTACTGATAGTAATAAATGTATATCTATCTTGGAAGTAATTACTAGACGAAATTTATATCAAGTTTTTTATTCCATGTAGTCCTTTGGTAATACACTTTGTTATAAACTTTGTCTATATATTTGGTTTATCAGTGTTTATAGAATTTCAGGATGAATGAAGACGGCAGGATAGTAGTGTTGCTTGTAAAATTAATTGGATTTTATTTCCTTCTACAGAATGTTTTTCTCCTGGCTTCACCATGTTCGACATCAAAAACAACTTAAACAACTCAGCGCACAGTTCCAGCAGCGCAAAACTGCCATCATTTCCCAGCATGCATTTCTCAAGTGGAAGCTACGCTATCAAGTCAACATGCAGCTGAATGTTCTGGTGAAGCAGAAGCAAGCCATGCATGAAAGAAAGCTTCTCCAGGATTGCTTTGCATTGTGGATTGAGAAAGTTTGCGAACGTCAGGCACACGAGCACTACGAGAGAGTGTTGATGAGACGGGCAATGGCGCAGTGGAAGAGGTTTGTCCATAAGAAGAGGATGGAGAAACAAATGGAGGGAGACTTAATGGACTTGGCACAGCAGCATTATGAGGCTAGTCTGAGGTAGGATGATAGCCAAGACCTCTAGTTTTAAAAAATAAGAATTTAGGATCTCTTAAACAAAATAGTTTACTGAAACTAATTGAAAAACCATTATAATCATGCTTTGAAAAGTCAGCATTTCGGAAGTTCCTTTTACTTAGTTCTTGTTTCAACATTAGGTTTTCTCTTGTCAAAAGATATTAGTTTTTTTAGATTTATAAGTGTTTTTGTTTTTTAATTTGATGTTTATATTATAGCTGTAACGTTATATTTGTTTAGGTGCATGCATCTGCTCTCATTTAATGCACTGAATTTTTTATCATAACATATGAGGAACAGCTATGGAATTTAAAAGAACCAGAGAACTTTGCCACCATCTTACCATCAGTTCTCTTCATCCTTTCAGGAAACTTGTTCTACATGCATGGTGCAGTGAGGTGCTGGTTGCTAGGCAACTAAAGAAGAGACAGCTCCATCTGGTGGCAAGATACGCTAAGATCTGGAAGCAAAGGGTTGCCATGGTGAAGGCTGCAAAGCAGATGGTATGTAAAAGCATTGATCAGAATAAAACAGTGAAAGGTATCGGGAAATAAATTTGTTTCAAAATGAACAATGTTTTGTTATCAAGCATCATGCCATTTTTTAAAAATATTTCACTTTTTTAATCACAATTTGAGGTTATATAACAATGGCACTGAATTATTGCTGAGACTCCAGAAAGTCTTAAAAAGTTATCTGTATTTTCAGGCCCATAAGCACAAAGTTGATCATTGCTGGCGGAAGTGGAGAAAAGCTCTGATCCAGTCCCAGGTGTCTAAGAATATGCTGATACAGGACAACAAACAGGTGCTCACACAGGTAAACCTGGTAGAGCTTTATTGATTGATTTTTCTTGTGCAGCATTCCAATCTTTCATGCTGCACATCCTTTGAATAAAACCGTTATGCAAATTGTAGTTGGAAGTTGAGTGTGAACTTAATTTAAATGTTCACATTTATGTAGAAATTAACTCTAAAATTTGCAACACATTAATAAGATAACAAATTGAGAGGAACATGAAGATGAAGTATTTGTCAATGAATAAATTCAGTTATCAGTTTCAATTAATTCAGTTTTATACACCTCATTTATTTATATTTTCAAGATTCAGTATTTGAGCCACACAGAACATTCTTTTGACAGCAATGCTATTCATTTTTGAAAGTTGGCTAAAAAATCAGACAGCATTATTTACTTTGTGCTTCATGCAGCAAAAAGAGACTACCTAAAATGTCATATACTAAGATGTGTGTAATTTGCCCTACAGGTGTTTGTGACCTGGAGACAGATGGCGCTGCTGCGGTCCCTGGCCAAGAAGTGCAGCCAGCAGCAGCAGAGCCACCAATTGCATCTCACCTTCCAGCAGTGGCGACAAAAGTACAACAGTAGCAGCTCAGGGGGAAGTTGTCGCAGCTCCAATGCCAGTCTCTGTACCACAGATCGTAGCTATATATCAGGAAGGAGCTCCGTAGACACGCCTCTGCCGATGGTGATGCCTTTCAGTGAACAATTCTGATTTAGCAAAAATATCTACGTATGCTAAGATGATACTGGATTGAACTCTTTGAGAAGTTTGTGGGCCACAGACTGCAACATAGGATGAAGTCCCAAGAAACTGGGGGGGGGGGGATACAAACTACTGTGTCTTTCACAAATTATTTTAAGGTGACATATATCATACTGTTACATAAATGTTGATATCTTCTCAAACTTGAAGGTCTTTCAGTTGGTGTCAGTTGACCAAGGCCCTGTTCCAAGTCTTTCTTGTTCAGTTGATGTTACAAACAAATACAAAACAAACATTTGATGAATTCAAAGCACGACCTGGGATATAAGTATTATTCACTGGTGGTGAAGATAATAAAAAAAACTTGCATTTTAATATTACCAAGAAAAGAAGGTAAAGTAATTTATGAGAAAGACCTTTTTAAGTAGTTTATACACATCCAAGAAGAAACTGATTATGGATATTTATATAAACAAATGATACTGTATTATATTACAAGGGCAGCAAGCAGTAACTTAATATTTATTGCCTTTTATTCACATTTCCATCCACTGGTCTCATTTTAAGTGACTTGTTCAAATGTTAATTTCCAAGTTTTTTGTATATTTTTTTCTTATTTAAGATAAACTGGCATTGAATTTATGCAGTGCCTGCCGTCCATTTTTGTTTTGAATACAATTTGTATATAATGTTAGTTGTAAAAAGAAATGTATCATATTATAAACCATACCATGTCATATTATGTTGTACATTACATTTTGGTGCCAGCAAATTATCCTAGGGGATTTTCCTTTTTAGTGCTAAAATTAGCACATTGCTCAGAAAAGCTTATGAATCTGAATTATGGCCAAAACAGGAAATTTTTAATGTAGATGATTTAGTCATTAAGGTAGGAAACTTGTAATAACTTCTCGTTTTCTACTCATTGTTGAATTAGGAAAATCATGACAAAGTTGAACTTTGTCATAGTTAATTTCATATTCAGTGCAAGAGGTTTCACCTTTAAATTTTAAAGCTTAAACTCTAAACTAAGATGTTAAGTTATTACAGTCTGATATAGTGGATGGTATTTATTATGGATTCTGACATTTTCATTGATATTCTTTGCATGTTATGCATGCCCTAACAGTGGTAGTCATTCAGTTACTCAAAGGTAATACTCACACATGGGTCTTTGCTCAAATACTGTAGAATTCACTTTGACAATGTGCCATAAACAGCAAGACTTTGACATAATCAAGGAATTTACATATGGACTGGAAAACGCTGCCTCTCTCATAACTCTTGTATTTTCAGTATTTCTTAATTACAAAAAGTTTGGGGATTTTTTATGTTCTTTCTTCACCCTCACATTATTGCGAAGGTGAAATATTAGTTTTCAGTTGGATTTTTATTATTATTTTCAACAAAAAATTGTTTTATTGAATTTTTAAAAATGACTGATTCATTCAGAAATGCTATATTTTTTGTATTGTATTTAGAAAGATGGCAAAAATCCCACATTTTAGTGATCCAGAACATTTTACTCAATATGTTAGTGATGAAATCTGGTTGTTGGTATTTTGTAACTACGTATCACAGTAGAAAACTGTGATGTATTAAATGTGCCTTTGTATAATTTTCTACTTAACAACTGAGAAATGTATGTACTATTTTCTATCACTTTATAAGATTTTTTACATCTTGTTTAATGATAGAGAAATGTTGCTTAGATCCCAGATTTTTTCAAAAATCATTAAACGTAAAATTTAGCCCAAATGCTTTACCTCATCCTTAATTTTACTGAAAAAGAGAAATTATTACATTATGTATCATGTTTGATTCATACAGTAGCATACTGCCAGAATTGTCATCAGTATAGATGAATTCATTTTATCACTGAAAGTTATTAAATGCCTTAGAAAGTATCATGTACTGATGCTATTAACTTATTAACAGTAAGACTCTAGTCAAATTATTGTGTACAAAGAAAACTTATATTTGTATTTTGTAATAATTAACAAAGAGTGTGATTGAACCTTTTCACAATTTAAAATAATATTTAATGTATAAATATAGAACTGGTCACATTGATGGGCGTGATTCATTGTAAAAATAAATTTTATGAATTATATATTATTAACATCTTGGTCTTTTGATCTATAGCTATTCAAAACAAAAATAATATGCATCATTTTTAAACAAGTAATATTTAACAAAAATAGTAATATACAAACTTAAGTATTAAAAATATGAAAAAAAATTATCTCAATGCAACCTGCAAAACATCACATGGAAGAATTCCAATACAACTATTACACTTTTTACATGCCATGAACAAGTTCACAATGGTTGCGATGCACTATTTATCACAATTTGCACAGATAAAAGAATTTGAATCTACTTTCCCCTGGCTAACAAAAGTCAATGCATCTCAGGCAAAACTAGAGCAGGCAAGAGCTGTTGGCCATTACTGCCCTCTCATAGACCATGAATAAATTTAGTTTCACAAAATACATGTATGTGAAACCACAACTGCATTCAAGAAAAACAAAACCTGGTTCAGGGAAATCTGGTCAAGATGACGAGTAGTATAAATGACCCCAAACAACAATAAACTGTTTAGTTTCACAAAATACATGTATGTGCAATCACAACTGCATTCAGTGCAAAACAAAACCTGGTTCAGGGAAATCTGGTCAAGATGACAGCCAGTATAAATGACCCCAAACAACATCCCCGCATCTATATAATCCATTCAACTTCACAACTGCATCAGTATTTTAGCAGAGCTGTCCTCTGAGAGAGAGTCTTCCTGACAGCTGTCCTGAGGTACTGCAGAGACATTAGTGTATACAACATATTCCACATCCTTGAATGATGCCCCTGACGTCTCCTTGCAGCCACTGCTTCCCTCGCAGGGGTTAAAAGAGGTTAAATTATTTCCATTGTCATAGCATGCAGGCGAGACAGAAGACAAAGGGTTTCCATCCAATATTGAGTCCTGTGAATTTGTGTCTCCAATAGACTGGCTATCAAAATGAGCATTTTCAATATCAAGATATGATCTGACCGGCTGACAGGGGCTGGGAGAGAACAGCTCCTTCTGGAGTGCGGACATGCTCTTCACAGGAGTGGACACTTCATAGCTGGACATGTCCTCACTCAGGACCCCTGGCCCTATAGATGGGGTCAGTTCATGGGCCTCCAGCCACTGACCATTGCTGTTACTGTTATTATTATTGTTGTCATTGCCAGTGAGGATCTGGTTGTAAACTCCATTCCCTAACCCAGATCCTTCCTCTTGTGAGGAGTTGTGCACCTGCAGAGCAGGATGGTAGAGCTGAAGCCACTGTTTGAAAAGTGGGGACGGGAACGTAGCATTACTCATCTGCACCTGGAGGTAGTACTCCTCCGCCTCAAAGTTCAGGTCTGTGGGCGGCGTGTACACCTGCGAAATGTTGGTCACGCGCTCATTCTCCATGGCAAGGAAGTCGATGTAGTCAGAAACCAACTTCCCTATGGGCTGTGGAGGCTTGAACACTGACTGCTTGCTACGTGGGTAGACCACTCGCCGAGTGACCAAGGAGTTGTGGTCTACAGCAGCACCATCTAGTGAGGAAAAAAAGTAGTCACAGAACAAACAGCAAAGGACATATAAGCAGCAATGCAATCTGCAGTTGTAAATGGTGCATAGTTCAAAATAAATTAGATACAAATTAATGCAAATTGTAAAAATAGTCAAGCATTAATAAACCATGCAGTATTTCTCTTTCAACTTTTTTATTAATCTCTTTTAACTTATAATAAAAAGTCAGCAATTAAAATGACAACTATATACTCAAAGTTTGAATTTTTTACAACAAATATATGATTTTCAAGATGCATAAGAGCAAAAGAAAAATAAGTGTCCAAAGGAGTAGCATTTGCACTACTGAAAACCCTTAAGCATCATAATCAAATAAGATTAAATTAACTCAAACATGAAAACAAAAAAAAATACCTATACAATCGACAGCTTCTTGGTTCTGGTTCCCATGCTCTGAATTCAGTATCCCACATTGAGTTATCGCATGGTCTCTCTGTTGAGGCCCACTGACCTCTGCTTGCAACATTGCCTCACTAGAGGGCGTTGTCTTGGGTTGGAGTGACTCTTCTTCGTTGAAATGAAATGAAAATTCTGCAGGGAGAGATTGTTCTTTACCACTGCCACCATCATCTTTTGCAGTGATGTGTTCTTCTGAAGGATTCTCTTGTGCTTCATTTCTTTTTGATACAATCCCACTGGGTTGGTTGCTATTGCTTTGCTCCTTATTTTCTCCCACAATATTTTGGTTCAGCTGAGCATAATGTTGTTCAGGCTGTTGTAATGTTCTAGGGTTCTGCTCGAGTTGTTGCTGTTGTTGTTGTTGTTGTTGTTCTTGCAGCGGTTGTTGATTGAAGAAATGTTGATGTTGTAGGTTCAGCTGTTGTTGCTGCCACTGCTGCTGCTGTTGAAGAAAAAGGTTGATGTTTCCTGGGTTTATGCCAACACTGTCATCTTGACATGGTGGATACTGATAAGCTTGTTTCTTCATGTATCTGTGAAACTCTGAAATGATGAAAAAGTTAGGTTCTAATTATATTGCATGACAAAAATGTAGTGTGAGTTATACCTGACTTTATGGCTTTACAGGAATTTTCTTGTTATTTAAGAGATAACAACTGTTCATTTGGGCAAAAATGGATTTTCCTGGGGTCATCAATGATTTTCCAAAACTTGCCAATGGTTAATGAATCCACTCCAACATTCAAAGTAAGCCCTTTTTTCTACAATGTTCGCTTTTTTTTTTTTTTTTTTTCTTGTAATAATCTCTTTTGACATTATAACAGAGGGTAGCCATCTGTGAATGTCAGGTAGATGGCAAGCACACATTCTAGAATAATTGCAATTACGGCCATTTTGATGGTAAAAAAGAATTTATTGTATTTCTGAGTTGTTACAATGTATTTTTTGTGAGCATGGAGCTCATAGGAAGCGTTGTTATCCCTTTAATATTTATCACATTTTTTCAAAACTTTATTCATTTATTTCAATTACCTTGAATGCATTTGGAACTGACAATTAATCTTTAAAGCAAAAAATACATTGGGATTGTTGGCTTATGGTCTTATCAATGAACAATTTGTTTATTTATTAGAGCTGAAAGTTCAATTTTTAAACCAACATGACAAATTAAAATCAAATCAATATTTGTGACACAATACATTAAAACACCATTATCATACCTTCCCTAAACTTAGCCTGGCTCCATGGAATGTTGCGTTCTACGCTCGAGGCAGGCATTTTGTACCTGATATGGTCTCTGGAGCTGCTGCCAGGCCGTCTGTATTTCCTTCTGCTGGGGTTTCTACGTGGTGGTGTGCTCTCATTTCCTGGCATGGGACAGCTGGCATAATGTGGCATCCTGGCTGGCATGTAGCAGTTTGGGTTCCCTGCAGGAGGAATGCCTACTGGTGGCCTGAGAACAGAGGGATTAATTCACAATCAAAATAAATTCTTTATAAAAATTTATTCCTAGTAAAACAGGTAACTGATCAATAAAATTATAAGATAATGATGTATTATTAATCATTAATCAATTTATTAATCGTAAAACTACCAGAGCATGGTCGGTATATGATCAGAACTTGATACTGAAGCAATAATTTTCCTTTAAGTACTTCTTTGGTTATACTTTACTTCACCACAGACTTCTTTGCTTCGTTCAGAATGTTCATGTTGTTTGTGTACATGTTAAATCATGATAAATCCATCATGAATCTATCTATAAAAATGTTTGTACAACATACCAGGGTGTGTAAAACCCTGGATATCTGGGACCTGATGGGCCAGCCATACAGTTGTAAGGTCCAGAAAACCCTGGATATCCCAGAGACACATTTGGTCCATATCCATGATGACCCATAGGGAAGTTGCCTGGAGATTGCCAAGCTGATGGAGAGAGTCCATTACTTGCCTCGTGAGTTTCTCTGCCTACATGCAGTCAGGGGGAAAATCAAAGTTATTAAATAATAATATGTTCATTTTTCATTAAGCAAAAGAAAAAAAATCAATAGAAAAATGTTTAGAATTTCGACTTACCCTTCATCCCTTCACTGAATTCTATGTTGTAAGTTTTTGAAATACATTCTTTCTTTTAACATAATAACTACTGGGTGACTACTAGTACTCGTACCTGAGGCTGAGGTAAAAGTTCAAGTAGTTACAAAAAATATCTCAGCTAGCCCTTGAAAGACAATATCATTGTAATTCAAACCAGTATTTGCATTACCTGCTCTTTGATTAGGATTACTATTATTTACAGATTCGGCAGACTCGGATCCATTTGCTTCTCTCCATTGATTCCACTGGCTGTGGTCAGTTTGAGAGTTTGGGTTTTGCTGTGTGGTCGTCTCACAGGTTTTCTTACTATTGTCCTCAAGTCTCTGTCGTTTTGCGTCCATTTCGGCTTCTTCTTCTTGGCCACATTTAGAGTATTTTGCAGAAGAATCCATTGCTCAGTTTCTGCATAGAATACAAATAAAATATTCAATACTCTACTACATTCCGTTAAATTATGAGAGACCACACGAGAATCAAAGAGCGTCTGCTTTTCCTGCCAATTGAATTGTGGGAAGACAAGTTGACCCAAAAATCAAAACCTATTCTTTCCTTTGAATTAGTGTATCCTTTTAAAACACAGCACTGTGACTTACACCATTTTTCATAATACTGAACTGCATCACATATATGTTATTTCTTTTGTTCTGATCGTAAAAAATTGGTGAAGACATCCATATCCAATTAACTGATTAGTCAACTTAGACCTGCAAGCGCAATTTTTCCAATCCTCCACATTCAGAAGAGTGGCTTATAATCTTGTACATTTCAACGTGGTAGCGGTATGTAAAATGTAATTTTTTGTCCAAGTTACGCGTAGGCAAGCTGTGCAATAGTCAACAGACATACCGAAGAAGCTATTCTCTTTTAAGACTGAGTGCAATTTTAAAGATCCGACGCATGAGAAAGAGATAATTTGACTGGTTTAACTGCGTGATGGGTCGTTCTTCGAAAGACAAGAGAGATGTGTATTACAGACTGGCCAAGGAAGAAGGATGGCGAGCAAGAAGTGCTTTTAAATTGCTGCAGATTAATGATGAATTTCACCTCTTTGAGGGCGTTAAGAAAGTTGTGGATTTGTGTGCTGCTCCTGGAAGCTGGAGTCAAGTTTTATCGAAGAAATTAAGGTAATAAAACCCCGCTAGACATAATTGTCGAACTCAGTCATGGTGGATTGAGGGGCTCTTAGAAGGGGGGGGGGGTTCCTCACTTACTTATTTTCTGGTTCCACCAATGCTTCATTTTTATAATTTTATTTCTGAGCACCCGAGAAATTATTGTTGAAATTTACATTGCAATAATAAGTTTTACTCAATGTTAAACTTCATTCTTTTAAATTATTTTTATTATTATATATATTTTTGGTATTCATTTATAAGTAATATATTGGTATTCAGTGTTGCTAAAGTATCTAATATTCCTATTCCTAACTATATCTAACCTCCCCCCCCCCCCCACACACACACACACACACACTATTTTAACTGTTGAGAAAATGTAGATGGAAATCATTTACTACTAGTTAGTTCCAATTTTTTCTTTGGGATAAGATATTGGTTTAATAATTGGTTATCCTATGATAATGAAGTAATATCGCTGTCAAACAATTATAGAAAGATATTATGTACTGATCTTTTTCAGAGGAGATAAGGGAGATGCATCAGATGCTAAGATCATTGCTGTTGACCTACAAGCCATGGCCCCTATTCCTGGTGTTGTACAACTACAAGGAGATATTACAAAGGTGAACTACAGTCTGAAATTCACCTATCAAGGGGTTTCCCAGCAAACCATCCAGTTGTCATTTGGGCGGCCACCAGCATCACTGGAAGGCCTAGATTTTTAAAGACGGCTGGATGGTTTATGGATTTGTTGGAAATATGATGGCTTTAGGCATACTTGGACACCTTGAAATTTTGTAGGAGATCACAGGTGGTAATTTTGGATGGCCTGAATCGATGGGTACTGGGAAAAGCCCTGTCTTTAATCCTAGCACCAGTAGCTCACCACACTGATTACTCCTGGTGTTGATGCAGTCCTTCTCCACCCAGAATACAAATGATGCTCCGTTTTTAGTTCAGGATATAAATGCTGTAAATATTTTAACTAGTGTGACTTCTCAAATGTGACTTTTATTTAAATCAGTGGGTGCTGGTCTCTGGTCCAGTTTTATCTATGGTGAAAAGATTGGGGATCTTTTGATGTGGGGATCTGTTGTAACAGGATCTAGTTACAAGTGAATAATGATGAATTGATTATAAAGAGTGTATAATAAGGTATTTTAAATCCTTTTAAAACTTAAAAAAGAGAATATGTATAATGCATTGTCAAGTATTTGACATGTGTACTTATAAAATCTAACTTATTGGGCTATGTTTTTCCCCACTCCAAAGAATATCTGTGACTAAAATTTGAAAAGTAATATTATTTTTTAGGTGTCAACTGCACAAGAAATCATCAGCCATTTTTCTGGCGATCAGGCAGACCTGGTCGTGTGTGATGGTGCTCCTGATGGTACGTCCTTAGTCTTAGCAATGACCTAGATACAGAGGTCATTGACATTAGCTGTGTTATAACTAAAATTATTAACTTAAAGAGAGTCAGTGAAGATTTTTGTATTGATACATTTGCATGTTAATTTAAAGTAACTGAAAAAAATTATCCATAAATCACTAATAATATTTTAGATTAATTTTTATGTACAGACACAGATGTGTCTGTACATATAGCCATCATCTGCGTCTGTCGTCGCCGTCGTCGCTGTCGTCGCCGTGCACTTTTACCGATAACACGATAAGTGGAAAACCATTTTACCTTTTGACTTGAAACTTACAGAACTGATGAATATTCATAATACGCAGGTCAAGTTCGAAAATCAGCATGATCGGGTCACTTTTAGGGAATTTATGCTGTTTTTTCACTTTTTTCAGCATATATGCAGCACCGATAACACGATAAGTGGAAAACCATTTTACCTTTTGACTTGAAACTTACAGAACTGATGAATATTCATAATACGCAGGTCAAGTTCGAAAATCAGCATGATTGGGCCATTTTTAGGGAATTTATGCTGTTTTTTCACTATTTTCAATATAAATGCAACACTGATAACACAATATAAGAAAAACGGATTGGCCAATTGTAATTATACTCACAGGAGTGGTCAATCTTACTAAAACGCAGGTTGAGTTCGAAAATCAGCATAATCGGGCCATTATTTTAGAAGTTATACTGTTTTTCACATTTCCTCAGATTCAATTATTAGGCATGTTAACAGTCTCATTATTTAACTAATAAGATGCCTAAAAGTGTTTGTTTGATATTTCCTGCATCTTTACAACATTGTTAGTTGATTATGTAAAAAACATGGTAAACTTGTTATCATGTATTGTGTAATAAAGTGTCAAAAATGGAAATAAACTCATATCATTGCAGTTTGTCAGATTCAATCATCCACTATGTTCAGAATCTCAGAATGGAGGAAATTGGACATTTAACACTGTTCTATTGATACTTTTCCCATCTCATCAATTTTCTTAGTTGGTCATATAAAATGGCAGTAAAATGTTTATTTTGTTTTATGTTAAAAAAGTGTTAAAAATGGAAATAAACCCATTTCAGAACAGTGCTGTCTTGTTTACATTTTGGCATTTTCAAGGCGTGACTTTGAAGTTCCATGGGCCTGAAGACCTTTGCTAGTCACATTTTCTGAATATCTGTGAAACAAATATTTTATAATTAAAAATTGATGGTCATTAAGCTGTTAAACATTATGTAATATTGCATCAAAATTTGAAGAAACCCCTATTTTGGGCACTGCTTCCATGATGACCATTTAAGGAAAATCATGTCACTTACTGTTCTCAAACTTACAGGAAAGAAACATGGGACTAAAATACAGCTTCAGTAGGCAATGCAGTCTGTTTGGTATTTTTATTTATTTATTTATTTTTTTTGGCAGTTAAACAGTTTTTTGTGAAAATTTAATTTTTCACATATTGGCATTTTCAAGGTGTGACTTTAAAGTTCCATGATCTTGAAGACTTTTGCTTGTCACATTTTCTGAATGTCCATGTTACTAATATTTTATTAATAACATTTGATTGTCATTATGCTGTTAAACATTATGTAATGTTGCATCAAAATTTGAAGAAACCCCTATTTTGGGCACTGCTCCTATGATGACCATTTAAGGGAAATCATGTCACTTACTGTTCTCAAACTTACAGGAAAGAAACATGGGTCTAACATACAGCTTCAATAGGCAACGCAGTCTGTTTGGTAAATTTTTCTGGCAATTTAACAGTTTTTTGTGAAAATTTAATTTTTCACATATTGGCATTTTCAAGGTGTGACTTTAAAGTTCCATGATCTTGAAGACTTTTGCTTGTCACATTTTCTGAATGTCCATGTTACTAATATTTTATTAATAACATTTGATTGTCATTATGCTGTTAAACATTATGTAATGTTGCATCAAAATTTGAAGAAACCCCTATTTTGGGCACTGCTCCTATGATGACCATTTAAGGGAAATCATGTCACTTACTGTTCTCAAACTTACAGGAAAGAAACATGGGTCTAACATACAGCTTCAATTGGCAACGCAGTCTGTTTGGTAAATTTTTCTGGCAATTTAACAGTTTTTTGTGAAAATTTAATTTTTCACTTATTTGCATCTTTATTTTCTGTTCTTTGTCTGTACATTTGACAGCTTTGCTGCCTTGTTTATAAAAC